TGCTGATTCTTGAATGTATTTTATGTAATCATGGGTAATCCACTTCACGAACCATAGACTTAGCTCTCGCAGAAAAGCACTTGCCTGGGCTGTTTTTTTTACTTGATCGCCATTTTCCCAAACTGCATAGGCTAACTCAATATTTTCAGGGATTCCTAAACATGTGGCTGTCAGAGCGTCCTCCTTAGCACAATAGGCACAGTGGCCTAAAAAAACAATCACTTGTAGGGGAGCTGCAAAGACATAGTTCTTTTAAGAAGTCCGCCGTGTAGGCACCATCGGTGACATCTCGTAGGGCAGAAACACACTCCGTGGCATTAGCACAGTATATACGAAGGCGCACTTCTTGGTGTGGTGCAAGAAGAACGCACTTCGGCCTCAGTGAATAAAACTTTGAGAGCCCAATAGACGTGTTCAGATTAGCTTTTCTAAGAGACGGCCTCTCGCACCGAACGGGTCAGAAACCTTTTCGAAACAAGCTCCTTTTCTTCCGTCAATGATAACAGATACTACATCTTTTTTGTTGCGACTCTACCGAGAGCAGCTATACTCATCTTTGGAGTAGTAAGCCATAGCTGCCTGGACGTCCATTGGGTTCAGCTGTGTCTTTTTCACCGCATTTGGTGCAAACCATATCCTGTGCTTGGCACGCCAGCGTCGAGATCTGTATATCATGTGAGCTGACAAGTTTCGTATAAGCGCTTGGAGTTTCCGGCGCTCTATATCACTCGGTAACAGTGTCAACAAACGCATGCGGTCTTGATACGAAGAACACGCTTCATAAACTTGCTTGAAGTTCTTGAACCACTGGGCACCCACACTGCATTTTAGATCTGATGGTTGAAAGTGGCGGTTACACACGTTACGGTGGCATTTCACGGTTACTGTAGAATTGCTGCTAAGTTGTCTTGGCTCTGCATTAACTTTGCTATTTTGCGCATGCAGCTTCTCCAGTCGCATATGTGACAATGCTTCAGGCGTGTTTATGCACCGCTCTTGACTTCTGCCTTTTTCTTCTTCCGGCAAAAACTCATCCGCTGTTTAAGCTGAGAAGCCATTAGACGAAGACAGCATATCTCTGAGGCGTCTGAAGCAGTTCTGGCAGACGTGGTCGTTGTTATGTGCATGGCGGGCAGCTTTCGGCAAAAGCTTCTGGAGGGAAACAGGCCGATGTCTTCGACCTTGCGGAAGTTTCTTTGATAAGGTATTATCTTTTTATGCAACATGAGGTAATCTGAACAAAAAACTCTATCCCGGCTGAAGTGGTCAGCCATCGCCACGCTCCTTGAGGCTCAAATTACTGGCAATGCAACTATGCGTCAAACCAGCAGCACGAAAGTGATCTATCTGTCGTCTGTTCCTATGTCTCTCACCTTTAATGAGAGCAGACGTAAAACAGCGTGCGCAAGTATCCCCCGTGCGAATGCAAAACTGAAGTATAGTACGTTGAAGTGAACTTCACAATGTTTTGTCGGTAAAAGTACGGGAGGCGTAATCTTTGTCCCTACTTTGAACCATATGATCTAAAGCATTGCCTCTGAGATGCGGCGCACAGCAATTCATCTGTAGAGCAGACGACGGATGACAACTTGCCCTAAAGCGTGCTCTTCACTCTAATGCGGCAGTCTTCGTGCCCCAGACGATAAAAATTTGTTATGAATCGTTTACGAACTCATTCAACAGTCAATTCTCTTACCCAGCGTACTGCAAACACATAGACGTCACAGCAGCTCCATCTGTGTGTCAGTAATGGAGTGCACCACATATTAGAAGTCTCAGTGCTCTACGTATAAGAGTGAATTCAGATACTGTAGAATATCGTGTTCAAAATAGTTACTCCTATCTGCTAAAACAGCCTTTCTTCACCAAATTCGGTCACGTTTACTCGCGTTTGAAGCTCATTGCCGCTTTTCCGTTCCGATTTATAGATTTCTCAACTTATCAGTGCATTCTCGAAAAGCTCTGATTTGTACCACGAATATTGTCGCTAAAAACAAAATAATGCAACATGTTTTTCTATATTACTGTATGATGGCCTTCGGTTGTCTATTTATGAGATTTTAAAAAAAATCTAAGATGGCGTGTTTTTATTATTCAAATTTCAGTGGAGTACACTTTTGCCAATATGAGAATTTTGAGGCAATATATAAAAAATTACATTTGCCCTATGGCAGCAATAATTTATGTACCTAATGAACACAATATATCCTTAAAACGTGTCAAGTTTGAAAACGCTGCTTGCACTACTTTTAGAGAAACAAAATGTGGAATACGTATTTTATCTTAAACTGTCGCAAAATCAGACATTTATAAAAGCTATTTTCTTAAGGTCTACAAACTTGAAACCGTATGAATTGATTCTTCATTAGACATGCATTTCAGGTAAAAAACATCTTCCTTGAAACAAAAATATTTGTCTTTTTATACCATCTGCAATTTTCGAAAATGACAGGTGACGAAATTGGTGCCTCCAAGTTGGTGAAGTTAATCCGTGCCTCCGTGTTGTGCCGTTAATCATAAAACGAAGTTGACTTTCGGGCTACCTGGTGAGAGGTGCACGAAATATAAAATACTCAATGAAATATAAAATATCAACTTTTGGACCCGTGTCGATCTCCCGTGGAATCACCCAGGCGAAAAAAGTATTAGGCCTGGCGGAAAGTAAACAAAAAAAAAACAATGTTTGAACTGGGGGCAAAACGTTCATCCGATTGGAGTATTTTTGGTGGATCAACCGTTCGTCCAGCAAGGTGCAACTGTGAGGACTAACGGTTGCCCGGTAAGATGTATATGTGGGGATTAACAGTAGCCCTATAAGGTGCAAATGTGAGGACTAAATGTTAGTTCTTTGAGGTAGATTGTGGGACTAGCGGTTACTCAATAAGGTGTAAATGTGAGACTAAATGTTAGTCCCTTGAGCTCATCTGTGGGAACTAACTGTTAGATCCGGTGCTGTTACTCCTGAAAGGAATTTATGGTTGTGGCAGACCCATTAGTCCCCAAAAAGACGAACCACACAGCCTTTTAACACCCTTTTGCCTTAGAGTGTACACTTTCTTTTGCTCATTTGGGAAAATATATTAAAATAAATGTTCTTTTGAGCTACATAAAATAGAGAGAGAGAATAAGGACGAAAGAAAGGCAGGGAGGTTAACCATTGCTGGGCCTGCTAGGCAACCTTACACTGGGGAGAGGGTAAGAGGAATAAATGTTTGAGAGAGAGAGTCAGAAGGAAAGAAATGTCACTCATGCCGTCGACGTAATGGCAGTTATGTGCTTAACATCACAGATGGTGAGTCACACCCGTGTCTTAATCAAAAGAGCACATTCTTTGTGTTAACTTGTATGCGCGGTCCCATGCACCCAAAATCTTGCCGATGCTGAAGCCATGATGGTGCCGCTTGCGTCCTCAAGCAGCAGACTTCTGAAGCCTTGCGAGAACTGGAGTGATGGTGTAAAGCAGTTGCGACGCACTTCCGGCTGTCGGTGTCTGCATCTTGCTCAGCAGCTCGCGCGATGCACTGAACTACATAAATGTTTTTTTTTTTGAGCTACATGAAAATTCTGCAAAGGCCTGTACAAAGGCCTACAGTAATGTTAAATAAGAGATCCGTTTGAAACTAACACAGGTTTCTTCTATCTGAAAAACTAAAGAAAGATATTTTTTTACATCTGAAAGGAACTTGAAAACATGCTTTCCGTTTTGAGCTTAGGAGCTGGTAAGTGAAGTGACTGCAAGTTTTTTCGGGTACAACGCTTGTGACCTTCAAACCGTCAATACCAATAGTTTAGCGCACACCATGGTCCGCCGCGGTGGTCTAGTGGCAAAGGTACTCGGCTGCTGACCCGCAGGTCGCGGGTTCGAATTCCGGCTGCGGCGGCTGCATTTCCGATGAGTCGAAAATGTTGTAGGCCCGTGTGCTCAGATTTGGGTGCAGGTTGAAGAACCCTAGGTGTTCGAAATTTCCGGAGCTCTCCACTATGGCGTCTCTTATAATCATATGGTGGTTTTGGGACGTTAAACCCCCCATATCAATCAATCAATAGCGCACACCATCCAGTCATTCCCATCCACAGGCCCAGTGCTGCCGAACCAGAGTGATCCGCACTTTCAATAGTGATGACTGTCGGGGGAGGGGACTAAACATTTGCATTGCTTGCCGCTGCTCGCCTTTCATTTGATGCCCTATACGATACACAATTTGTCGAGGTTGTGCCGCGTCATGGGTCGCTTCATGTGGAAACTTATCCCGTATCCCGGTGGCTGGACTTCACCAATTTCAGTGTTGTTAAGTAACAGGATGCTGTTTAGGGTTACCTTCAACATATACGGTGTTCAAGTGACGTGCATTCTCTGCCAATCATTGTGTTATGTGAATAACCTGGGTTTGCTTTTTATGTCATTGCGTAAATTAACTTCGTTAACTTGGTATGTTTATGTGCTTATTTTCTTTCTTCACGATTGAGTGACTTCCTTGAAATCTTCACCTCTCGCCCAGATGAGATTCTTTTCACAAAAACCGTTGGGTTGCTGTGATTTTCTCGAATGCTTCCAACCGTGTGAAAAACAGTAGCCAGCAATAAAAGCGCCCAAATTTCATAACCAACATGTAACAGAGAAAGATAAGGCTTAGCTTAGACGCAAGTCAATTGGCAGTATATTCAACGTCGGCAAGATTGCTAATGCCCAGCTTGTAATTCCTTTGCGCGCCTATTATCTGCGTGCATTAACATGAAAATGTCGCTTAATTATGGGATCATGGCGAAAATTTTGAACCCTTATTAGTCAACATTCCTGTACGGGGATCCATTACTGTTATATCTCTGTGAGTCTACCAAATGATATGGTTTGATAGAGTAGGAATATTATAGAGGCATGCAGTCGTTTCAAAAGAACATTTCCCAAACAATTCACATAATAATATTGCCGGTAATGTAGTAGCATGCTCCCTTTATCAAAACATATTTCTTTGTGAGCGAAGCTATCAATACTCTTTGCAATAAAAGAAGTGAATCACTTTTATTGTTTGGCTGACAATGAAAATGAAGAATGGAAGTGTCGAAGCATGGTCTCATGCTACGGGAGTGATAGTGTCGTGAATACTTGTGAATACTACTTCGTAACCTTGTGCGGGACAAAATCACTCCAGAGATGTGTCGGTTGGCAGTTGCGGTGGAGTGGTTCAGAGTAGTAGGGCTCGCGAACGACAAAGTCAGTGCACAAATTATTGGCATCCGGGACTCCTGAAACGAAGCGGGAAAATTCATAGTCACAAACGAGCATCACCAATGCGACACTGAACACCCTGTCATAACCAGAACAGAATCGTTCTAATGCCGCTGTTGTTTACCTTGTTGAAACAAGCAAGTTGACTACTATTCTTTTTATGAGCAGTGAATGCAATTAACGTTGGGCATTTTGAAGCTTATGGTAACGTGCTAATTTATAATTCCACAATTGGGCTCAGGTCAACAGTATTTAGAAAACTAATCAAAATTTGTTTTGTGCCCAATACTGTATACTACATTATTTAAAAGCAATACAGACTACATAAATCTCTGATATAAAGTTAACTGCTTAATTCTTGCCCAGCACGCATGCACTTACACGAACTATTTTCTCTGTTTGATTTCAATTAAGAATATTTTTTTTTACTTTTCTGCTATTAAAAAGAATAATTGGTGATCGATCAAGTGTGTGTTGATACAAAAAATCATCGCATTTGTTTCGCTTAAAAAGTTGGTTAAGCTAAGGTGCCTCGACGCGTTACAGCAACGTACGAAATGATAACCTTTTTTAAGCACATCATCAATGCAAGTCTTTTGAACGACATGGAAGCGAAGCAACTCAGGGGCCTGTCCAAATAAGATAGAAAACGAGATCTGGGTCAGCATTACCCATTTTGATTGAATTTACTGTGGGTCTGGACATTAAACCTGAGCTATGGTTTTGAAGATAAGGCGTAACAACTCAGGGGCATGTCCAATCCTATGTGTATCAATACTTTCTTTCTTTTCTTTTTGTGGAGCGTTATTATGTCTCATGTTATCTCTATGTATCCACTCCTGCATGGGCCCGATCAGGGCCTGCAGTATGTACAAATAGAAAAAAAGTCAGCTTTCTGAAAAAAAAAAACGTTCGGCTGAAAAAAATCGTATAATTTGGTGATAAAAACATTTTCGTCTTTTTCGCGCATTCTGAACATTGAGCACACCCCACTAAATATGGTGTGCATCTCAAGCCCAGTATTTATTGACATTGATGAGTGAGTGATATGTAGTCAATTTTTTCCTTAAATGTTAAAAAATTACACAAAAAAAACTCACATTCATGGTGGACTCACAAAAAGATCTAAGTCAAGGATTTATTGTTGCAAACTCCTTAAATGGCGGGGGATTAAACTCATTACATAATACTGTTGATAATTCCGCTTCTTTAAAAATACTTTTAGCTATTTCATCGCGCTTTCTTTTGCCTCATGATTTCGATGAAAATGTAAGTACAGTTTACCGAAAATCCCAAAGTGTGAAAAACTTTTGTCTAAAAGGTACTTTTTATTTCGCTGAAGTAAAAGCCCTCATCTTCTATTGTGCTAAAAAAAGGTTGAAATATTGTGGTTTCCAACAGCTTGTAACACATCACATGTGACCAAGTCAGCCTCGGGACCACGTCGTTCATAACATGCTGAAGATCCGATACCAGTTGTTCAAAATATTTGCATACTATATAAACCCGAAGCAGCTGCTTCACAAGAACATATAAGCCCCTTCTGTATAGGAAGTGTCATCACGCAAGAAGCAACTGCTTTCAGTAGTAGCGCACGCAAAAGCCGAGCCCTGCAAATGCAAGGTGCTCGAGAAAACGTTTCAAGCAGGCACGGAGGTTGATTCGTAAATATCTTTGAGTTCTCCGAAGTATCGCAACATTTTTGTATATTATACTTGGTGCAATGCTTGCCATCGTGTTCTATAGACCGTTTTCATAATTCGCAGGTGCGCTTCTTTGCACTGCATACTTGTCCAAGAAATGACGCCACCTTCCATGCTTCAAGTGTACACGTGGTCTTGGTTGAACGTGCTGGGGCTTGTCTGTTTTCAGTGTTTATATGAAGAGAACCGATACTACATTTTTGACGTCATTGCGTAAGCAAATGGCACTTGAACAGGCCGCCAGCATGAACTGACTATCCGCCATTAGTTGTTCAAAAGGCATAAAAGGACAGCTAACTTTACAATTCTTAAGAAGGTCTATTTCATGCCACTGCCTCTTTGAATGAGTAAACTCATCCCTGGCCTATAAAGTGATGTAACATCAGCGCGAAGGAGCCGCGCAACAATGATCAAAGTCTTCCTGGTAAATTAAGAAGAAAAAAAAAACGGCGACTGTGTTATTCATTTTATATCAAGATCACTGACCAAGTAGCTGAATCGTGCGGTTGAATTCACTCCTGAGGATATCCAGGACCTTGTCGGCACCTTTTTTTCCCTATAAAGAGAGAAGAAGACGTAGACGTAGATTTACTCGGACAAATGTTAGCAGCTTTATAACTTATACTTATGAATAAAAATTGTAGTGAAGTGGGTTACTGACCTCAGGAATAAGGCTTAAAGAAAACGGAACAAATTGCGGTTTTAATCCAGGACGTCACTGAGCCAGTTAGTTGTGAATACTTAAGATCTGGTCCTGTGTGTTTCCTTCCAACTGCCACCTTTTTCGCGCAGTGTACTCAGATTGTGCTCGGCATGTTTTGTTACTGGACATGACAGAGACAACGCTGTCAAAATGATGTAATAATGGGGATGTTCACGACCCCAGCGGGATGGCTAGAGTTGATGAATGAGACAGCAGAATAACGCTGCTATGGGGACAGTGGCAAGATAACAACGCTAAGGCAACGGCGTGGTGTAAAGGGAATGACATTACTACCACTGCGGTATAAAAATGGCCGCCATACAGCGCTTGCTACGCCAGAAGCACTTGTTGGCCCTTGTACAACCACAAACAGCGGCGCTCTTGTAAGAGCTAAAAACTCCCCAACGGGCAGCGTATTTATAATACGGCCTAGAGTGTTCACCAATATTTGTGCTGGAAGCTAGTCGGCGCCTCGAAATTTAGAAGTATGTCTCAGACTCACCTAACAATTGACTTCTCACGTGAACTGATGACACAGTGTGAAAAATCACTGCATTCCAGGCCTAGTATCAGCCATTGGCTGATTTGAGCATGATGTGCTTCGTCGTTATCGTGGTTTCCGCGGAAAGCGGTGAGTTTGAGGAAAACAAAAACAAAAAATGGCTTCGTATCTGCATGTTCAACTGCAATGTCGTCCAAAGACGATAGTCTTGCGTGTGGAGCGAGTGAAAAAAAGTTTTTTTTATGTTTTGCGCGACAAGATCGGTAAAATGTATTCTGGAAGCGCTGCGTTAGAGATTGTGGATCCGTGCGGAAGGCGAACGAGTGCATCGAGGCACGTTAGACACAAACGCTATCTGGCAGTTATCTTCGAAAACGAAGGAAGGCGTGCGCGCCCACGGAGAAAAATGCGCGCCGGTCTCGGAGGTGATACGGTGTAGAACGCCAATCGACCGGCAGGTGCCACCACCATGTCATCTTAGCAAAGCGTTGGCAACACTTGCCTTTTTGAGCATTGCGTTGCACTGTCAGCGCAGCGAGATAAACGCTGCGGTCCTTAGAAGTAGTTATGTGTGTCTTCTTTAGTATGAGGACAGACATACAAAAGATTGACGAGTTGTTATGGTGCCTCAGATATGCGCAATAATTGCTTTTTAGTTGACAATAGCACAAATATGAACGCTTAAGCTTGAGCATTATTGTTGGGCGCTGCGGATGGGGTTGGCCTTGTGGGGTATCACTTCTGGCCGTTTGGGGTGTAATTACGGCGGACAAACACACAAATGTACAGACAGAAATACAGACACAAAGACCAAAAATTTTGCGTCGAAGTACCCCCAAATAGACTATCGTCTTTAAACAGAAGACAAAAAGTGCTCAAGGTTTCGAGGCGTGCATGGCGTATTTTTTTCTCCTTGTGCTATCCCTCCCTGCTTAGCTTTCAATGCTTTCATCGGGACTAGAGAAGAGAGAGTTCAATTGCAGCGTGCGACAAATCTTTGGAACTCCGCTCGTACTAGACGAAATCTCATCATTATTTGACGCGTCGAATTCGTGAGGCGATCAGCTCCTTTAGTGAATGCACTTTATGGCTACTTGAATAAGTAGTGTACGGCCGCTTCAATTGCTCGACACTTGATGACTGCGACTTGCGCGTTTCAAGACGACGTGCTGCTCAACTTAGCCGGGCCGCTAAAATTCGTAAACACAACTGACTTGGCTTCGGGTCCAGATATTTTTTTTCCTCGTACATCCACCAGTTTGATGCGCCACTGATAATACCTCCTCATTTCTCTTTTTCTTTTCTTGTCTTTCATCCTGCCGGCCCCAGTAGGTGGTAGTTGTCAGCCTATTCTCTTGCTATTACCTCTGTGGCCTTGTTTGTTTTTGTACCCAAACCAAATAATAACAAACACAAAATGCGTACTAAACAAAAGTGTGTTGAACTCCTCAACTTTCTGGGTAGCCCAGATGTCTGCATTGAAAGCACGGCGCCACCTACATACGAAAAGTACATGCAGGTGCAATGAAATGAATTAGCGCGTGGCAATGACGAATTTTCTGCGGAAGCGTTATTGCCCCTCCGCTTTTTTTTAAAGCCGGGGTGGCTGTTGTCAATCGGCTGCGTTCAGACCAGGAAAAATGGCGCTGCTTTTGCCAGCATGTTGTACTAAAAGCTTCCTTGTGAGCCCCTACAGTCATGAAATTATTAAAAGATCGTTCACTTCTGCAGAGTCCGGAAGCAAGCTGCTTTATAAAAATGGTAGCACTTTTTTTTTAATGGTTGACATCTGCGAATTTTTCACCACATATGATGCATAGGCTATCAACCCGCGTAGCTGCAAAACACCATCGCAGCTGCGTGCCTGATCGTCTATGCGTTCTCCAGGCACCGTGACAAAGGCCGAGCATCTATAATAAAGTTGTTGAATAAAGTTATCTTTATGCATGTATATTCCATATTCAAAACTCTTAAATAAGCGCCATAAATAAAAACAAACGAATAAACGGGAGCCAAGGAGAAGGTGAAAGTCACTGCCTACCTCCATGGCTCAACGGGCGCCAGCCCACAAAACAGCTCGAACATTGATGTAAAGTGACCGAATAATTGCACTGGTCCCTGCAAATGCACTGGTATTTATCTATTGTTCTTAAGCTAGCCCGAATGCAAACAGTTATTCTAGTTGAGAGCAGTTTGCATCATACGGTGAACAACCGAGTCATGGCGTATATACGCAGACTCGGGGTCCTGTCGGGCCAAGGAGCCGCGGAGCCGCCCTAGCAACTATGAACTTCCAGCGCTGTAGTTTCGCAAAAGATCTGGTGTAACCTGTCAGAGCTAAAAGTGTAAGACGGAGTGCTGTAATGCCGGACCCATTGGCGAATTTGCATGTCCATCTATGCTGCGATGAAATTCATTTCCAGTGCATGTTTCTTGTGTTTACCACATTTACCCCTCACAAATAGAGCTTGCTCGGAGATTTCACGAACGTAATAAATCATTCTTTCTGATCCACTGAAAAACGACGCCGAGTGCTACAGTGGCGCACGCTACGGTGAAACGTCGCTAACGCGAGTGCTGTATTCTAAAATGTAGTGAAGAATTATGGCACATTCCTAATATCCTTTTGTGCTGTTGCTGAACCCATTTGTCTGGGTCAGCTTATTGCGGTGAAGCGGCTGGGATGAATTGATTTCAGTTAAGACACTGCTAATCAACGCGTACTTTCCGCGAAAAAACGCTAAGGTAAAGCCCGTTCAAATAAACAAATTTAGGCGTCAATTTTCTATGGAAAGAATGCGGGCATGCGACCTCGCGTCCTAAGGAACGCAGACCACTGCTTTGAAATTTTCAAGCGGACATGGGTTCGTAACTGGAACGGCTTGGACCGTGCCATTTGACCCAACCACTGTCTCCACTAGTAACGAGAAAAGTTAATGTAAAGCGTTTTATCGCCATATGTGATGCATCTAGTTGTATATTGGTTTCTGGCGCTACGTGCATAGTAACTGTAAAAAAAAACAGCCAGCAAATATTATTCTTTCCTTAGGTATGCAGATTTTCTGAAAACGTGCGTATGTGTGCGCGGGCGTGCGCACTATATTAACACTTTCCTTCTTTTTATGCTTCATTCTGCAAACTGTTTTTGATTTTTGAACAAATGCTTTATTTTTATGTAGGCTCTAAAATCCGACAATCATTTCGCGCTCTGCTTATGACACATAACGATTGATAAGGGAATTCGACGGACACCACGTAGTGGGGCTCTGGCTGATCGAGGACGAAGAAGGCAATCTTGCTGTTCGACTGATGATCGGTTGATGTTCGGCGATCTTGCTGATGTTGGAACTATGCAGTAATTAGGAAAAGACTTCTAGCTATTTCATTTTGCTAAGCTAGGTTTAAATTTAACCACAGAAAATGTTCTAAACATCGGTACCTCTGTTTTGGGAAATTGCCACAAAGATGCATTCGATGCGGTGTGTAATTTTATTCAAGATTTTAAACGTTTTTAACCATATTACTCACTTTAACAGATACTCAAAAATAGCGGGTCGAGAAGTAATTACTGAATGTGGATAAATCCGTGACATACCAAACTAATCAGGTTTGACAAAACCAGCCGTCTGGTCGGCTCACAAAATCAAGGTATGGTTATTAGTGTCTATATTCTTGTTGATTTTTTTCTCACTCTTTGCATCTTTGTTTTCTTTTTTAAATACACTGTCTTCATTTACAACTGTTTTTTTTTCTTTTTTTTGTAAGCAATAGTGCAGTTATCGTCCATATGAGACTATATGTTCTCTTTGCCAATCCCCCAGAGTGGGTATGAGCCATCGATTCTAGGCTACAAACAAACAGACAAACAAACAAACAAACAAGAAACAAACAAACAATTGGCTGTTAAGAACCACTGTGTCAACGTCCATCTGTCTTGGGTTCGCGTTGTACCACGACACATGTCCGTTTTCACTTTTTTCATGTTGATACACGCGATATAGCAAAGCTTGTCTTTTAGAAAAAAAAAACATCTGTGACATCGCAGCCCATTTCAAACATTCATAACTATAGCAACGGCGAGCAACAGATGCGCGTCCCTCTGGCGCAAACATTTGAAGAAAACTTGAAAGAGTGTTTGTATGCATACATTGTAAGCGAGGCCCCAGAGCACAGGCCTGCCGACGAACACTGCACGGGCACCAATGCTAACGGCCTTCACAGCATCGGCTCCAGATCGCACGCCACCGTCGAGGTAGATTTCCATGCGATCACCAACTGCAGCAACCACTTCTGGTAAGGCCTCGATCTGTCAATGAGGTAGATGGAAGGAGAGCACTGCCTTACAGGGTCAGCATAGAGCATGCCGAATGGTTACAACTAGGTCGTACTTGAAGGGCAAGGTAAACAGCTCTTAGTCGCCTCTCTCCCTAGAAAATCCACACACCTCCACAGTAGTCGATCGTGACAAGTCTTAAGTTCCATAATCTCTACGTTGTAGTCGCCAACTTAAATAGTATAATGCGTTTGTGCTTGTATGAGGTTTATACAGTTTCGTTCCAATTAGGATCGGTGTTAGTCAATTGCTTAGAATTTTTGTGCCTTACATACGTTATCACGCTACCTTGAACCTGTATATAATGTAAATAAACGCTCCTGTTAACTGCACCGGCTCTCTCCTCGACATCTCAGCGGGACTTTGGCTGGCTCCGGTCTTATGGGCAGACCCCCGAATACAGGAACGAGTGTGGCCCCATATAATGTTGCCGTGGCATACGGACACAGGGTAAGCCTGCCCCATAAGATGTTCCGCTCCTAACGGCTCATGCGACTGGCCTCTGTGTTCATCTGGCTCAGGGCCACCTGATATCGAGACAGCTCGTAATCGGAGTGCGAGAGGCAGCGTACCGACCGAATACGTTGGCGATCTCAGATCACTTAGAGCAGCACGCTTGTAGTGCCACCGTGAAGACAGCGCGGGAAGCTTCCAGGTAAACATTCCTGCGCCGCATCGACAAGGGGTGCCTATCAGTTCAGTGCACATCGACGAAGCTGGACGCAGCAACAGACTTTCGGGCTTAGCCAGTGAATCTGGTGGTGGTCATCGTCCGAGCTGCTATCTTAAGGACAAATCACGTGGCTGTCTGCGAGTTGCAGTGAAGACAGCACTGACGTTTCCTCCACCTTCGATAGCCGCCTACGTATTGACATGGTGTATTTACGGTTAAGCAGATGTGACCTTTTCACACACATGCTCAGAAACGCCACCAACAACGCACGTGCACGAAGTATTACGCGCCTGGTGATGTGTCTTCTGAAATGCACGCTCGCACTGTTGGCGCTGTTCACCTGGTCCACCTACTGGCACCGACGTGACAGTGCTGGCTTGTGTCACGGGATCCGTACTTCCAGTCAGTTCGCGCCACGCTCTCGCTTCGAACTCAAAGCAGTCGGCAGCGCTACGAGTCGGAAAGAACCCACCGAAGGTAGGTCTAGCGCTCGAATTTTACCAGCTGAACGTTCAGCCACTTTTCAGAGCGCGCGCGTAAACGCCCAAATAAATACGCCATAATATGACAGCCACTTGCATGCCGGAAAAGCGCCGAACGGCATTGCTGTAATGCTATGAATGTATGTATTTGGCTCGTGAGATCGCATTTTGCTTAGACTATTCGAGCATCTGAATGACCATCATTAACAATACTTTGCTTAATACCATCGTTGTGTCGTTTTGTTGATTTCTTCAGTAACATCCCCTTTTATTGCAATAGCATCTATGTAGACACTCTGAGCTGATTTTTGCCGTCACTGTCATGTCCCGAATATACATATACATGTGTGGGGGGGGGGGGGCACAGAAAAATAAATCAGAAGAAAAAAAAAAACGCGAGGCCTACGCAGAAGGTGCAGCACAGTCACAGCGAAAGCTAGAAGAACGTCCTTTCAGAGCCTTTTGTAAACACTTTTTGGGTAACTGCTGCAAGCGCATTTGCTTGATGGCCACTACAGCATTATTAATAAAAACTTTAAAGTAGTAGGCCGGCATTCGCTATGCTATTTTTCGTCGTTCTTCTGAGAAGCGTGGTATCCCCTAAAGTACTGCGAGTAATTTTGTGCCAATTGTTCACGCAGTGGATGACGACGATGAGGAATTATGCCTGAAGTGGGTATGTGTCACAGTTAACAGCTGAACAAAAACAAGTTTTTGTAATGGGTTGGAGCATTGGGCGACCCACTCGTTACGCTATTCGCATTGTGTGACGACTGGTTGTTCTTTAGCTGTTTTAAAGCGCGTTCAAAGTCGTAATAACGCGATTGCTTTCCCGACATAAAGCCTGTCTAAAGCAAGTTTGCCAATAAGTCCAAAGCATTGATGTGATTGAGTGGTAAAATACTAGGTTGGCATGCAGCGGACCCGGGTTTGAGCCACACTGTGTCATTGGTACTAGCTTTTTTTCTGATTTAGCGTGATGTGGTTACGGACACCGGCGGCGGCAGACAACTACGGCGCTGCGCGAGGCCCTAGTTGCGATCTCATTTCAGTGTTCGCAGTGAAATTGCTCGAAAAAATCTAGGAATACTCAAGAAGTTGGTTGTCTTGGCATGCCTGTGAATTAGGTTTCATTAGTAGTGACACCACCGCTATCATTTCAGACGGACGAACTCAAACCGCGGCTTCAGGTGAGTTTTGATGACGTTTGCGCTTTTGGAACGTCGCATAGCCTATCATCGCAAAGTATACATCTCACCAAGAATCTTGCGGACTGACGTCACGAATTTCTTGCTGCACAACTTCCGTGTGGTGTGCCTCCAGGATGCGCCGGGAATACTCACAGGAGACAAAAACGTTTATGTACTTCAACATGAAAACCATTGGCTTGTGACGTTTCTCGATGCCGAAGATGAAATTCGCCTCCTCTCGCACTTCACACAGTCAGCTATTCACAACACCTGCTTACATACTATATGCTTACTGCATTACTCACAACTCAGCGACAATTGACCACTACATTTCGTATGGTTCCTAAATATCCTAGCCTAACTTCGTATAACAGCCTGATGTGTTTAGTTTAGCTTAGCTTTGTTTGGTTAGTTTATTTTGGACATACATGTATACCAACATGAAATATGTCCACGAGGAAAGGCAAAAGGAGACTCGTACGTCTTCTGACGAGGCCATCGCCCCGGATTCACACATCGGACACCCAGGAGTAAAACCAGAGAAAAGAGGTAGAATGCTCCAGAAAGAAATAAGTACAATGCTCATTGCACATCTTATATGAAGAAAAATGTACAGTGATAAACACAAAAGGACAAAAATTATTGAAAGTTCACATTGATATAGAATTCAATGCTTCGGCCTTGTGCCGAAGCTCTTACATTTTTTGTCACGCGACCTGTGCGAAAAATACATCTACTTCTACTACAAGGACTTTTACCAGAATAGACCTGTATCTTGGAACAAATACTTGTAAGAAGTTCCCCTTTACTTCCCTTGGTATCATTGTCTGTTGTGATTGTTATTGTGTCTAACAAAGAAAATGAGGCCATGAGTTCATGCTTATTTCTTTAACCGGAACTCGACTACGACAAAGCCCTCACCGTCGCAGGGTCTCCGTCAAGCTGCCGTGCTCCATGATTGGAAACCAGCACAGCCGACGCACCGTTGTGGTAAGCAGAGAGTGCCGATTCAGCTGCAAGATCGTAAATGGTTTCAGTCCCTACTGACAGTGTTTATGAACAACGCATCACAAAGTACAGCACAAAGGAATTTTTTAAAGACGATAGTGTAGCGATGCTGAGGCAGACCGGCTAAAAAACGAGCGTCTTTATTAGGGCGAACTTGTGCCCACGAGTCTAATGACTATAGTCGTCGAGTCCAAGTAGCCGAGTGGCACAGATTCAACTGTCTTTTTCTTCCTTGTAGCCCGAGCGCACGAACGCGTGGAGCAAGCCAGCCGGGTCTTGCCTAGTGCTCGTGCCACGATGATTGCGGCGGGCTACTTGAACGTGGCCGACCTGTCGCGGCATTATCCCCCTCCTAAGACGCATCATCCCGATGCTTGAGACAGTGAAAAAATACATGCGCACTCTCACTCGTTTTCCGACGATCTGTCATGATAGGGCTTCATGCAGACTACGTGTACCACTTCCGTGGGATTGCAGCGTCTTCAGCTCACGTGTCCAGCGGATCTGACTTCATAAGTGCGTCGCTGATACGGTTGAGTACTTCATAAGAGCCGAACTATCGACAAGGAAGCTTTTGAGAGAGTCAGCGATGGCGCACTGGGATCCATATCCACACTTTATCACCGGGATTATAAAGAGCGTCACTGCGTCGCTTGTTGTACCGTCTAGAATCGACGCGCTGTTGATGGCGTATTCGGTATCTTGCCACTTGTCGTGCTTCTTCGGCTCTTTGCATGAAGTCATCTAAGTGAGGTGGATAGCTGCTTTCAACCTGCAGTGGTAACATGGAATCCAGTGAGGTGGTCACTCTTCGGCCGAATACTAGTTCGAAAGGGGCAACGTGGGTTGTTTCTTGAACGGCTGTATTATACGCGAATGTTACATAGGGTAATATTTCCTCCCACTGTTTATGTTCAACATCGGCATAAATTGATAGCATGTCGGTCAGAGTTTTGTTGAGGCCTTCGGTTAAGCCGTTTGACTGAGGGTGATACGCCGTTGTTTTTTGTGACCGGTATTTGTCATGCGCATCAGACATTGGTTCAGGTCTGCAGCAAATGCGGTGCCCGGATCCGTAATAATGACGATGGGCGCACCATGTCTGAGCACTATGTTGCTCCCAAAGAACTTGGCGACTTCGGACGCTGTCGCGCTGTACAGAGAGTCAGTCACAGCATAACGGGTCAGATAGTCTGTGGCTACGACAATCCATTTCATACCTGCACACGATGTCGGGAAAGGTCCTAGGAAGTCTATGCCGACTTGTTGGGATGGGGCATCCGGAGGGTCTATTGGCTGGAGAAGGCCGGCTGGTTTTACGGCTGGAGTTTTGCGCCGTTGACATTGACAAGTTTTCACAGTGCGCTGCACTAATGCGAGCAACTTAGGCCAATAGTACTTCAGGCGAAACCTGGCGAATGTTCAGCTCACACCCATGTGTCCAGATCTTGTCTCGTCGTGGCATGCATGCAGAATTTCCTGTCGCATGGCTGTGGGCACGACTAGTAAAAACGTTTCGCCATTAGGTTCGAAGTTCCTCCTGTAAAGGACACTTCCTCGAAGGCGGAACGTGGAGAGCCCTCTGGAGAATATGCGAGGGACCTGAACGTCGAGATCCTGCAGGTGTTGTATAAGCGCCAACAAATCCGGCTCATCTCGTTGTTGTTGAGCGATTTCGGATGCGTCGACAACGCCTAGAAACGGGAAGTCTTCATCTTCAGGTACACTTGGATCGACGGGAGAGCGTGACAGGCAGTCGGCATCCCTGTGTTTCCTTCCATATTTGTATACGACAGTAATGTCATACTCTTGCAGCCTAAGGCTCCATCTTGCTAGTCGACCTGACGGATCCTTGAGATTTGCCAGCCAGCATAGAGCATGATGGTCACTGACAGCTCTGAACGGTCTACCATAAAGGTAGGGTCGAAACTTATTCATTGCCCAGATGACTGCGAGACACTCTTTTTCAGTTGCAGAGTAGTTTGCCTCAGCGTTTCAGAGTTTGCGGCTGACATAGGCTAACACTTTCTCTTGACCATTTTGCCACTGGACCAGGATGGCGCCGAGGTTGACGTTGCTGGCATCGGTATGGACTTCGGTGTCGGCTGTCTCATCAAAATGGGCAAGTATTGGTGAACCCTGTAGCCGTTTTTTTAATTTGTCAAAAGCTTTCTGTTGTTCATTTTCCCATGTGAAGGGCACGTCGTCTTTCGCAAGTTTTGTAAGAAGTTCCGCGATCTTTGAGAAGTTTTCCACAAATCGCCTATAGTAGGCACATAAACCCAAAAATCGACGCACTGACTTTTGGTCTCTGGGTGTAAGGAACTTCTGAACAGCGGTTGTCTCTTCGGGATCAGGACGAACACCGTCAGAACTAATTACATGTCCAAGAAATTGCAGCTCTTCGACGCCGAAGTGGCATATTTCGGGTTTGATTGTCAAGTTTGCTGACCGGATGGCTTGTAATACTGTGTGTAGTCACTCTAGATGTTTCTCAAACGTTGAAGAGAATACCACCACCTCATCCAAATACACGAGGCATGACTGCCATTTCACTCCCATGAGACAGAATGCATTGTTCGCTGGAACGTCGCTGGCGCAGAACAGAGGCAGAATGGAAGCGCTTTAAATTCGTGGAGGCCAACTGGTGTTACGAATGCGTTTTTTCACGGTCCCGCTCGTTGACCTCTATTTTCCAATATCCGCTTTTCCGATCCAAGGAGGAGAAAAACTTTGCGGATCGCAGCCGATCTAGTGTATCGTCAATACGTGGCAATGGGTAGACATCTCGTTTAGTTACACTGTTCAGTTTTCGGTAGTCGACACAGAATCTAAGCGTGTTGTCTTTCTTCTTAACGAGCACTACGGTGGACGCCCATGGACTATTAGAAGGCTGGATGATATCATCCGAAAGCATCTCCTCCACTTGCTTCTTAATGATTTCCCGTTCTTTCTGTTGCACTCGATATAGATGCTGGCATATAGGCCTCGTGTCGTCTTGCGTTATAATTCTGTGTTTCGCAATTGACGTGCGCTGGACCTTCGAGGCAGTTGAAAAGCAACCAGAGAATTCTTTTACCAAGGCGTAAATCTGTTTCTTTTGACTGTCCGGAAGGCTCTGGTTGACGGTCACAGATGTGTCAGTGTTGCAGGCCACTGGTCGAGTGGTTGACGTCGTTAAGCTGCATAGTTCGGTCGCCATACAGAAGTCGTGTAAAATAGGCAATAGCCGTGCCTTGAGCGATGTGTTAAAGTTCATTGGAAATTTCTAAGTAGGACATCTGTATGGCCATTCGTCAAGTGAACTAGACCCCGAGCTAGGCAGACACCTTTGTTCAAAAACAGCCTCACATTTGTATCCGCTACGCCTTCGCGGTTGTACAATGCGTCATTCTCTACGAGCACCATTATACTGCAGCGTGGCGGCACAGTCACGTCATCATGAACAACGGTAGAGCATTTAGGCGTCGTTCGTCAGATTCCTCCACAGGTATAGCTCGTTCAGTCGAAAACGACACGCTGGATCTACGCAGGTTTATTACGGTGCCATTAGCTCACAAAAAATCCATTCCTATAATGAGTTCCCTTGAACATTCTGGTAGCACAATGAAATCGGTAACGTCAAAAAAGCCCCGTATTTCAAGTCTTGCAGTGCATCTGCCAAGGGGCGTAATAATGTGACCACCTGCCGTGCATATCTGCGATCCACTCCACTGTGTCAAAACTTTGTTTAGCTTCTTCACCATCTTGTGACTTATCACTGAATAATCATGCACCGGTTTCGACTAAGACATTCAGCTCACATCCTTCAATTCTCAACCGCAAATCTGAAGTAACGCTTTCGTTGCTGCACCCATTTACCAGAAATGCACTGTCGTCGCCCTCAAGCCATATTGGGGGATCTTCGTAACTGATGTTATCAGCAGTCTCACTTCCACAGGTCGCTTGCTTCAGTTTTCCGGGAGTGGACTTGGAGGGCGATGACCAGGCTGCCTTGAAGGTGCACATGGGCTGGATAACCGGTAGCGCATAGGTGATGGTGACAGTGACCGATGTTGGCGTAGAGGTGGCGAGTTCTGGCGCTTGGACAAGTACTCCTCAATCTCCGCTGGTTGTTCGCCGTTTCGTGGGCACGGTGCATACGACGGGAAGCCTCTTAATCCAGCCAGTCGGTAAGGGCACAATCTGAACAGATGACCCGCGTCACCACGTTGAAAATACAAAGGCCTGTGCTCGTCATCACGCCAGACGTCACTTATCCTGGGCCTATGCTCCACATAGCGATGTGTGATACGTGCTCCTGGGGGCAGATAGGTAGCCGTTGGTTCCCGTGGACGAGGTGCGCTGCGTGCTGCAGGTGGGAGAGGAGTCGCTGCCATCGCAACCGCTGCATTGCTGTGTACTCTGGGTTGTCTGAGAACTCAAGAGTATGTTCGGATAGGTCAAACCGGCTGCAGCTCACGCTCTGGCTCTCGTATGACCTGCCTCAGTTCGTCACGAACAACGTCTGTAACAGGTAGTGCAGTTGCAGTCTGGGGAATTCGCAGTCTGCTCAGTTCTTTCCTAATAACTTATCTAATGAGCTCTCACAGGGCTTCAACGTCGTTTCGCACGCCTCCAGAGAATACCTGTGCAGATGCGCAGTTAAGATTCCGGTTGTACTGCCAAGCCCGCTGTTCCAGAGTTTTTTCGATGGGCGTCACTTCCGAATAAAACTCAGTAACTGGGCTTGGAGGGTTGCGGACGAGAACGGCGAATAGTTCTTGCTTCACTCCGCGCATTAGATAGCACAACTTCTTATCCTCAGCCATGTTGTAATCCACACGCTTGAACAGACGGACCATGTCCTCAATGTACATGATAGCACTATCGTTTGTGAGCTGGTTCCTCGATTGAAGAGCAGCTTCCGCCTTTTCTTTCCTGTCGATGTTCGCGAACACAGCCACCGCTTATAGTCGAACTACCTCCCAAGTAGACAACAAGGTTTCATGGTTCTCAAACCATG